TGGGTGTGTAAGCTGAGTACGTGGAACAATTGTGAATTTTCTACATCATGCCAGCGTTATGAAGAGACTGAGGTGCTACTGCTGTTGGGTACCTCATGTCGGTGGCTGCCTTCTGGAGGTGCGCTCTGAGTCTATTCCAGATATCAACTGCTACGCTGCACAACCGGTCCAAAGAACCTTGCCGACCCCTAGCGTATGAGTAATCCAGCGTACCTTTATCGGAGATCGGACGCCTACGCTCCTGCTTTTCTCTCTGTCGACGTTGATGTACGATGAGCACTGCGCGGATCTCGGATCTCGCCGCGTGCTTGGCAGGGTTTCCAGGGGGGGGACACGTTTCCGTTGGAGGCCTCGGTTTGCCTATCTATATATTCTTTTTTTTTTTGCTACGCGCAGCACTGAACAGCGCAACATCTATGCATTACATTTCAATTCTGGCGCGTCCTGCTCAGCCAGGTCGAGGCGATGCGCCTCTTTTTACTGCTGCTACTGCTGCTGCTGCACCTGCTGTGCAGTATAGCTCCGGGAGAAGCATTTGTTGCGAAGGTGGCACTGTCTGCCGCCTCGAAATCTAGACTCGGGCGGAACGATGATGGCACGACGAACTCCTGGTCAGCTATTTCATGGCGACGTCCTTCAGGGCGACGTCCTTTTTTACCGCACGCGTTGCGGGTACGTGCCGACGATGGGGGAAGGGACGAAACACCCGGCGATTATTCTACCGAGATCCGGGCCGTGGACGAGAAGGTCGAGGCTGTCGAGGAGGACATCCAGGCTGTCGCGCGGGNAATACCCGGCGATTATTCTACGGAGATCCGGGCCGTGGACGAGAAGGTCGAGGCTGTCGAGGAGGATATCCAGGCTGTCGCGCGGGAGATCGGTTCCGTGGGGAAGAAGATCGAGGCGGTGGAAGCTGCACTCTCTGGGGGAATTCCTTATCTCGGGATCGCTGACCGCGACCTCCTGCTTAAGGAAAAGGAGCAGCTCCGGAAGAAGGAAGAACAGCTCCGGAGGAAGGAAGAACAGCTCCGGAGGAAGGAAGAACAGCTCCGGAGGAAGGAAGAGCTCCTGCTGTTGGAGAAGCTACCAGCAGCAGCTGTGTCACCCGCAGGTACGTCAGAATGATAGCAACACAGATCACGTGTTTCATACTAATGTACTAGCTACAGTTGAAGTAAACCCTCCGATCATGCGTAGGGGGGCGTAGGAGCTCGAGCGGGCGCTGCAACAAGACCCAGCAGTGGTAGGTTCATTCTTGGGCTTTTGTATTTTTTCCCGGCTTAGTGAGGTGAGCGAGTCCCAAGATGCGTGAGAGAGCGTTTGTCGACACTCGAATCCACGAAGGAGCGGGGCTGGCTTTAATCCTTGCACATGGTAACACACAGCAGTTGAGGCCCGCGAACAAGAGACGTCAATCAAGCAACTTCGGATCAGGGCTTGTGTAGGGGTGACCATTGATTTTGGGAGGAGGAAAGCTCACCGCGTACCGCGATGGAATTGAAGGCACGAATCAAAGAAGTCATGTCATGTGGCGTTGAGTGGAGAGGGCCCCGACCGTGTGGCTCTGTCTGTGACCCTGCGCTGGTGTTTCGTTTTCATCTGGTCAGGATGTCAGGATGCTCACCGTCTTGGCTTCATGTGTTTCGTCGACGATGACCCCCACTCAATGCCTGTACCGCACGCAACCTGTCGGCGTCATTTCTCGTCGAGTTCGCAAATGAGAACCATGTGTTGTACGCCGGTTGTTGTTGTGTCACCGAGGAGCTGCGTGTTGTACACCAGCTGTGGTGTTTTTGTTGGCGCGATTATGTTTCAGAAGTCAGGATCAGAGCTTCGTGTCCATACTCGCTTGCAATTCGATCCCGAAGGACCTCTGTTTTCATTCCCTGTCTAGCGAGGGTGGCAGCTGGGTTTACTCGTGCCTCTTCCATCAGTGGTGATTGTTGGGGAGAAAAGTGTTCGTAGCATTGCGGAAGGTCGAGGTTTATTCAATCGTCTTGCGCATTCGGTCGGACTACACACTGGTGCGTACGTACTCCAACACCTCTGTGTGTGTGCTCCATACCCGTGAGCGTGTCCGCAGCATATTTTAGTATTTGTTTTGGCATAACTAGGTGACGTTTGCTTTGCGGCGCGGTCGTCAAAGACCCATCCGTTGCAACAATCCATGGGACTTGTTCGACGAAATATGGGCCCAATGTCTGCCGCATTGCCTCCACAGATGGCGCCGTGTTTTGATCATATGTCGATTTGTTTCTGCTGCGGTACTGCGGTGTACTCGAAATCTTGGTCATTGCTCTGGTTGTCAAGCGTTTACATGTAAGCTTCAAGAGAGAGAGCAAAAGGTGCAATCGTTTCACCCCCCCCTTTTCTTGGTGTTTTTCTACTCGTCGTTCAGTGGCCGCATCAATTGACGGGACCATTGAACAATGAGCCAACCGCTGACCTCTGCGGTCTATGCCTCGCGTGTCGTCGTTCCTTGTCATGTGGGCCCACTACACTATGGTCCGACGCACTTCCTGGATGACTTGGGCGGCAACTTTACATGATGGCCAAACGCAGGTGTGTGATCAGCTCCCTGTTTGGGTACCGGCGCATTTACATCACGTCGTACCGTTACTCCTTTTGTCTTGTCATTTGTCAGCAAAGCGGTGAAGATGACACGCAACGATAAGCGGGTCGCGTTTTTGACCCTCGTTCTTTGTCGGCCTCGTCGTCTGCCAGCGAAAGTAGTGATGTTGAAATCCCCATGGTGTGCGTGTGTCGATTTGATCACACGGCGCGTGGGAGTTCCAGTTTCAGTTTTATACGCCAGACGGACATTGCACGTTTCAAACTTCGTTGTGGAGAAGTACCTATGAAGGGTAAGGGGCAAAATACTGAGCTGAAAGCCAATACGGCGCTGGCCACTCCGTCCTTCCGATGTGCTGTCGTGTGTTTTCGAGCTTGACTTGTTATTGGTTTTTTGGCTAGTCGTCTGCCAAAGACATGTCTGGTGACGTCGATGCGGTTGTGAGAGGAAGTTCTGTGATTCGTCAGAGGCGAACGCCCGTCGATAGCGTTGTCTTCCTTCCATGCGCCGGTTGCTTTTCGTCGACGGCCTCGGAATTGTTTCTTCTCAGTGTGACCCAATGCCCATTCTTCTGCGGCCCCCGAAACATGGTTGTCTGCCCGTTGCAGTCCCTAAAGCTTTAGCGGATTTCGGCGCCGTGCTCACAAAAGCAGTGGTAGCCGACAACACCCTGGAACTTGCAGATGGGACGTTTTTCCTGGGTGAGCCTCGGCTGAGATCAAAGCTGTTCATCCGTCCTTGTTACAAGGACCTGTCGGAGCTCATCTTGGAAGGTGTTACCGACGGTACGATGGACAAAATTGTAGTGACAGGCACTCCCGGCATCGGCAAGTCCGAGTTTGGTTTCTATCTTATGTACCTGTTGCGCGGTCAAGGAAACACCGTTGTTCTTGAAAGAAAAGGCTGCTGGTTCCGCTTTAGTGATGGAGGGGTAACCGTAGGAGATTTTTATTCTTNGGACGGTACGATGGACAAAATTGTAGTGACAGGCACTCCCGGCATTGGCAAGTCCGAGTTTGGTTTCTATCTTATGTACCTGTTGCGCGGTCAAGGAAACACCGTTGTTCTTGAAAGAAAAGACTCCTGGTTCCGCTTTAGTGATGGAGGGGTAACCGTAGGAGATTTTTATTCTTTCAGAAGGGCTGGTTACCTGTACGGTAACAGCACTTGGTATTTGAGTGACCCGGAAGATCGGCCTAAGGAGCTTTTGGGTCTTCCAACGGTTGTGTTGCTGTCGCCCAGGAAGAGCAGGGTTAACGAGTTTATGAAACAACCCGGTTCCCGTCGGTTTTATATGCCTCCGTGGTGCTTGGATGAGTTGTTCAGATGTCGGCAAGCTGTGTTCCCCCATGTGCCAGAAACCGACGTGCGGGAACGCTTTAGTAAGGTTGGAGGTGTGGCTAGAGCAGTCTTCGATGCGGAAAAGCTCAAGCAGGTTTGCCTCAAAATGCAGGCAGCGGCTTCAAATATGGATCTAAACCTGCTGCACCAAATTCTGTCGCGAAGTCGTGATGACGTTGACCAGGTCTCGACCGATAGGAGTGGTGACGCACTCTTGCATTTGTTGCCTATACCTGAAACAGGTTTCGAGGAGTTCAGTGTCGATTTTGCGAGTGAGTTTGCCCATA